GAACTATGACACAAGAAATTATTTCATTACAGTTGTGATAGATGTCTCCAAGGGAAGTTTGCCATCCTAAAAATCACATAGGTGGTAGATCTGACCAGGTCTAACCAAAATGGATTCTCTGAGAAAGTAATGGTTAGGTGGAAATGTGAGGCTGAGTAGGAGAGGCTAAGTCCTTTGGGACAAGGGCTTAGAGACTTGAAGGAATGTGGCTTCTCCAGAAGCCACCCAAGAGCTCTTGAGTCCAGAGCTCAGCACGAAAGAAGGTGAGAGGCACAAAAGGAATGGGCCTGGTCATTTAGGACTTTATGGTCACATTAAGGGCTTTTAATTTATCCTCAAGTCATGGATGAGTGGGCGGGGGGTGGGTGTGGAGTGATAAAATTTCATTTTCAAAAGGGCCCTCTGGATTAGAAGGGGCACCTATGTATACGAGCTCAGTTTTTTCTTAAAATGACATAACTAAAAAAAAATTGTAGATGACTTAAGAAGGAATTCTAAAAATTATCAAGATCATCACTCCAAAACCCCTGTATATCATTTCTGCTAAATAAGATTTTCTTCTGTTTTTAAGTATAGGTTTCAAGACACAGAATTCTGTCTGTGTTTACAGTTAAAGCCTTCTCAGGCATTGAATGGGCAGTAGGCATTTTTCTAAGTGTCTCCAGAAACTCAGCCTTTGGGGGTGTAAATAGACCAAGGCTGAGAGAGAACCTCTCCTGAGGGTACCAGGCCCTGGGAAGATGGTGCAGAGCTGGAGGCAGTGGCTGCCTGGGCAGGAGGCACAGAGGTGCTGCTGAGAGCTGAGAAAAAGGCTCCCAGCAGCCTCTGCTAAGAGGAAACAAAGATGACGGACCTCTGCACCTCTGCACCTCTGCCTGAAACCCACCTTTCAGAGGGCAGATAGTATGTGAGGTACCCCCGCCAAAAATCTCATATGATTGGGCTGTTCATTTCTTCTAATATCTGTATGTCCACTTTCCAATGTTCTTTTGATGTCTTATGTCTTATACCAATATGTCTTGTGTCTTAAAGGGTGCATAGCCATCTCCTTGTACAGGTGAATTTCTAGTGAATTATTTGGATAGTATGAGTAGTTAAAATTTTCAGGTTCAGGAAACTTCCTGCTTCCCATCTTAAAGCTTTTATTACCTCATTTTACATTGGATTTCTTGTGTCCTGACTAGGAAAAAAATAATGAACTGTATAGAAAAAGAGCATGCTGTGGGAGGCAGGATGCCTACTTTGGCATTTTTAACTTTGAGGGTAATTAGCTAAGACCTTGAGAGAATAACTTTGGACCTCACCTGAAGAAATGAGGGATCTGGGCTAGTTGATTTCTAAAATCGCTTACAATGCTAATCTAAGTTTTATTCACCCTTCTCTGGTTAAGTAAACTTCTTAACTCATTCTGTAAACCCTATGAACTCAATTTAAAAATTCCCAATTTCTTGTACCTTTCCAGATACATCTCACTTTCCAAAATGATTAATCTTATGTAAAGCTCCAATGCGAATTATTTCAAGTTTTTGTCTTTCATTGGAAAGCCAAGTACTGTGTACAATCAAGAAACAGATTATCTCATGCTCTCTCTGTTACTCTCTTGTTTTCCTTCTATTCAGTGACCTTTTAATCAAATGATGTGTATTTTAAATGTATTAGTAGCTGTCAAACCTTTACCTGAAGATGCTTTTCTTTTTTTAAAATTTATTGAGGTTACATTGGTTAATAACATTATATGGATTTTAGGTGTACAACAATATCATTTGATGTCTCCATACTCTGTTGCATGTTTACCATGCAATAGATTCCTTCTGGTACCATAGATTTGACCCCCTTTACCCAACGCTCCCTCTTCCCCTCTGCTAACCACCAATCCATTGTCTGTACCTATGAGTTTGTTTTTCGTTATTTTGTTATTTTTTTGTTTTATGTTCCACATATGAGGGAAATCATACAGTTTTTGTCCTTTTCTGTCTGATTTATTTCACCTAGCCTAATACCCTCAAAATCAATCTGTGTTGCCACAAATGGCAATATGTCATCTTTTTTTATATGGTTGATCAGTATTCCATTGTGTATATGTACCACGTCTGCTTTATCCATTTATCCGTCAGTGTATACTTAGAATGTTTCCATGTTTGGCTATTGTAAATAATGCTGCGATGAACATGGGAGTGCAGAAATCTTTACAAATTAGTGTTTTCATATATTTTGAAAAACTCTTTTCATAATATGCCAAATACCTCTACTCAGGATTCATTGATATTTATTGAGCCAGGGATGATGCTAGGTCCTATAGGGCATGTTTTTAAACTGCTGATCATGACCTGTAAAAGTGGATAGTACTCAATTTAAAAATTCCCAATTTCTTGTACCTTTCCAGATACATCTCACTTTCCAAAATGATTAATCTTATGTAAAGCTCCAATGCGAATTATTTCAAGTTTTTGTCTTTCATTGGAAAGCCAAGTACTGTGTACAATCAAGAAACAGATTATCTCATGCTCTCTCTGTTACTCTCTTGTTTTCCTTCTATTCAGTGACCTTTTAATCAAATGATGTGTATTTTAAATGTATTAGTAGCTGTCAAACCTTTACCTGAAGATGCTTTTCTTTTTTTAAAATTTATTGAGGTTACATTGGTTAATAACATTATATGGATTTCAGGTGTACAACAATATCATTTGATGTCTCCATACTCTGTTGCATGTTTACCATGCAATAGATTCCTTCTGGTACCATAGATTTGACCCCCTTTACCCAACTCTCCCTCTTCCCCTCTGCTAACCACCAATCCATTGTCTGTACCTATGAGTTTGTTTTTCGTTATTTTGTTATTTTTTTGTTTTATGTTCCACATATGAGGGAAATCATACAGTTTTTGTCCTTTTCTGTCTGATTTATTTCACCTAGCCTAATACCCTCAAAATCAATCTGTGTTGCCACAAATGGCAATATGTCATCTTTTTTTATATGGTTGATCAGTATTCCATTGTGTATATGTACCACGTCTGCTTTATCCATTTATCCGTCAGTGTATACTTAGAATGTTTCCATGTTTGGCTATTGTAAATAATGCTGCGATGAACATGGGAGTGCAGAAATCTTTACAAATTAGTGTTTTCATATATTTTGAAAAACCCTTTTCATAATATGCCAAATACCTCTACTAAGGATTCATTGATATTTATTGAGCCAGAGATGATGCTAGGTCCTATAGGGCATGTTTTTAAACTGCTGATCATGACCTGTAAAAGTGGATAGTAACCACCATTATTTTAAAATAAAGTAGAATATAAAATAGTAGAGTACATGTCACATGATAAGTTTATCGTTTTGCAGATTTTCTCTGGGGACTCTGGTTTCCCCTCACATCTTAAAGATGTGCACATGTGGTGAATTGGCGTATCTACACTGTCCCAGTCTGAGTGTGTGTGTGTGTGTGAGTGACCTTGCCGTGGAAGAGTGTCCTGCCGGGGGAGAGGAGGTTCCCAACTGGTGCCCCAGCTGTTAGGAGAGGCTCTGGTTACCTGAACTGGAATAAGCGAGTTGGAAAGTAATAATCTTACTTGTTTTTATTTATCTTAAATGTATGTATAGTTCACATTTATTTCAGTGTTTAATATTAGAAGTGTTTTGGATCTTTATTTAGAATCTTGGTGATGTTTTTGTGACCAGAAATATGCCTATAGGAACTTAACTCTTATTCATATCAGCCTGCAGTAAAATAGGTTTCACTATATATTGTTTTGCCTAAAATCACAGTTTCCAAGAACCTACAATGAAGACTTACTGTATATCACTTTTCTTAACATTTACCAACATAATCATCTTTATTTTACTGGTACAATATAAAGTTATTCAATTTAAAAAAGTTATTACACTCCAGATCTACCTTCTTTTTAATGGTAACAGCTAGTATTTACTGGCTACAAAGCATTTACTGTGTGCCAGGCAGTATCATAAGCACCATGTATATTTTATCATAAGAACAAGTGGTTGTTAGGAGTGTGGAGTCTGGAGTCTGACTTGGTTCGTATTCTGATTTTACCCCTTATTAGCTATGTGATGTTGGGCAAATCAATTAGGCCTATTGTGCTTCAGTTTCCTATCTATAAAATCAGCTAATAATAATAAACATGACTCATAATGTTGACATGAAAATTATAGCTAAATTAATCCATGTTCAGTGCTAGTAGCAGTACCTTATGCCTAATAAGGCACAATAGCTGTTAGCTATTGCCATGGTCGTCATCATCCCTCACAATAACTCTACAATGGTTAATTTTATGATCATGACTAATATAAACTGTATAAGGTAGGTTCTGTTATCACCTCCATTTTACAGATTAGAACATTGGAGTTAGGGGAGGTCGACCAAAGTCAAAAAGGCAAGACGTGGCAGGACCCGTATGCAAGCCCTGACAGCCATTTCCAGAGTCTGGGCTTTCCATGCTATATAACTCTGCCATTCTGTTTAACAGTAGCTTCCAGAATAATTGTCTGCAGGTAAAACAATTGCATGTTATTTTCTTCTTTCCCATTGTCAGCAATTCACAGAAGCTTGATTTCCCCCACCAATTGCTTTTCAGTCGAAGCAAAGAGGCAGGTACTCTAGTAGAACTTCCACATAGAAACAACTAGGCAGGAGCAGCTGGCATCTCCTGAGCATCTTCCACATGCCAAGTGCAGAGGTGCACACTTTGCAAACATCATGTTTCATCTTCACGGATATCCTATTAGGTATATATTATCCCACTTTATAGATGAGGAAACCAAAGCAAATCTTGTTCAAAATCACAAAGAATGGGTCTGACTCCAAAGCTTTTGCCGCTACGCTAAACTGCTACGTTAAATGAATAGAGATTCTATTGTGAACACTTTCAGAAAGCAGTTCTTTTATCATCATTACCTAATTTGCTTGTTTAGAAAGGCAGAGGGTCTGACTTCTTCAGTGACTTCATGATTTCACTCTGATGAGGAATACTGTTCTCTTCCCTTCCAGAGGAGATCTGTACCCTAGTTATCGCTGAGACTTTCCCTGAAGATGCAGGGGTCTTTACGTGCTCAGCAAGAAACGATTATGGATCAGTAACCAGCACTGCCCAGCTGGTTGTCACCTCAGGTATGTGAGGAGAAAAGTATGATTAGGTTCTGTCCCCCAGCACTTAGTTTGGTTTTACAAAGAACTACCCTGGGCTGGGGGAGGGGATGCTCAGCCACTAGGAATGCTTGCTGCCACTCCAGGAGTTAGGAACAGTCAATTTTTCATCTGGAAACAAAAGGCTTTGGGGGAGGGGGAGGGGAGGTGGAGATGAAAAAAAAACAAAGATCATGATAATAAAGAAATGGAACTCACGTGGGGCAGTTTTTTTAAATCATGCGGTCTCAGTCTTGGAAACAGTGGCGCTGGTTTCCTGACATCCTCGTGCCAACCCAGAACCATGGTCACATCAGAAGGCCAATGGGCGGTGCTGTCACTATTTTCAGCAGTGCCAACACAGGAGACCTGGAAATACTTGTACAGATAAATCGGTGTTTAATCCACAATTGAAACTTCTGAAAAACAAATAAAAGATAAACCAAATGTAATTCTGAGAAGCTGTAAAGATCTTAGAAATCAGATCTCACTGATAGTGAAATATAACTCTGATAAGAAAAACTAAAGCAATATGCTATATGATTAAAACCAATATTGAAAAATATCTGGCTATTTTTTAAACTCAAAAATTATCACTAGTAAAGATAACATAAAACAGCCTTTTTTCTTTATTTTTAACTTTAGGTAGCTATTTTCTGCTATTACTAATTGGCATTATCTTAGTTTATTTTTATTGCCTTATCTCTCTTCATTTTACAGCAATTAAAAATATCTCTTTGACCAAGCCTGGCACAAAGTGCACAGACTAGGGAATCAGTATGTGGGTTGTTGGCTGGATGAGATAGACTTGGAGAGAACAATGGAATCGCGCTTTGATTTCTTTGGAAGAGTAGGGACTTGGTGCTAGGTGGCAGCAGAGGCACAACGAAGACTGGGTTAGGGACTTTAGAGTGGGAATTGTTACTGTTTCTTCATCTTAATTAAAAGACATGTAAGGATTACTTGAATGGGGAGACAGTCTATGTGAATGAGTACTTTAAATGTGAAAAGTCAGAGTTGGGCCCGGTTAGTACTTGGATGGGAGACCACCTAAGAAGACCAGGCATAAAAAAATAAAAATAAGGGATTGTAAGCTGACAAGGTCCTTGCAATCCATGAGGTCAACCAAGGGTTGCTTCACCTAAAAAAAATAAAAAATAAAAAAAATAAATGTGAAAAGGAACCTCCTGTGTCATGACCGGAGCTCCAGAGCTGGGAGGAGCATAGTATTTTTGTTCTGAGTTGGCTTGGAGGTTGTCCCATCAAATGGCCATGGCAGTAGAGCACTGCTCCAACAGCATGGCCAAAACTTGGGACTCTCAAAGTCTCTGTGGCAAAAATTGGCATGCAATATTTCCCATGTTTATCTGGGGTAAATCTGTAGGCTAAATGTAGACATCAAATGTTTTTAGTTTATCTTAACAAACATTTTTAAGTACATTCCAAGAGCTCTGCTGCGCTCTGGCAAGGTGAGGAATCCAAGACAAGATCTTATCTCAAGATGCTTTCAGTTTATTGAGAGTAACAAGTGAAAAATTTCTTTTGTGCTGAGTTACAGCTGTGGCCGTCATCTGAATTGGAAAAAAAAATGATCTTAAGACATTTCCCTTAGACTAAAAGGTTTACTTAACTTTAAATAAAATGCGTATTCATTGCTTACCACATAAAACCTTTAGAGCTTGAGTTAATGTAAATAAAGCTCAGATAGGCAGTTCAATTGGATCTGTGGGCTGAAATGTGAGAGGACAAAGCGTTATAAGTTGATACTGTTTGTGTTTTTTTTTTTTTTTTAACTAAGTTCTGTTTTTACCTCTTGTTTGAAATTTTTCATGAATTAGTAGCTGTTTTCTTTCTTTTATGGGCCCATTCAGGAAATGAAACAGGTAGCAGTCACTCAAAACAAGCTTAGAAGAACCAAGCCCTCCAGCTGGCTTTGCTTCTGCATCAGATGAGAGCAGCAGAGCTACCTCTTCTGTGACAACTTAACAGGGCCCAGGGGGAATTCTCAGATGATCTATGACATTGTGAAAATAACTGTTGACTTAGTAGCGTCTTATTATTTCTTCTTCTCCCCTTCTTTAGCCAACACTGAAAACTGTAACTATGATTCCATGGGAGAATCCAACAGTGATCACTGCCAGCACTTCCCACCTCCCCCTCCAATCTTGGAGACAAGTCCCTTTGAGTTGGCTTCAAAGAAACCAGCTGAGATCCAGCAGGTGAACAGCCCAGAGTTAGGACTTGGCATGGCAGCCCTTCAAATGCAATTCAATTCTGCTGAGAAGGAAACTAACGGAGTCCATCCCAACCATGGAATAAACGGACTGATCAACGGCAAAGCTAACGGCAATAAATCTCTTCCAACATCAGCTGTCCTGCTTTCACCCACGAAGGAGCCACCACCTCTGCTTGCCAAACCAAAACTGTGAGTATTTCTGCATGGTTTTATAATATTTTCCGTACCCCTGTTAAATCGCCTCTCTGGTCAATGAAAACTTTTTGCGTGGACTCAGCTATGTGGCACATTGCCCCTTTTACAGGCAAATTGTCCATAGCTAATGTGACTTTATTACCAAGTGGGGTCGTTCAAAAATATAAAAGTTACCAAAAATAAAACCAGTAAATGAGAAGCTTGGTTAAATCTGCCCTTTGCTTAGAGCTATAAGTGGATTCAGCTGTGAAAATATCTGTGCTTTGTGTGGCCTTCCAATGTATAGCAAGGATGTAGCCACTCCCTAGAGGTGATGGGGAAGGGGACCCACTTTGAGCAATCTATCAAAAGTATTTCCAAATGTTTTAAATTTAAGAATCAGTAAGGAAATCTGATATAGATAAGACTAAAAGCTGAGGATGGAAATTCATTGTACAGAACCTGGGGAGGGGAATGAAACCAGAGATAACCATGCTCGTCAGGAAGAAGAGCGCCCTTCACAACATGACCTCCTTGGCTTGGGAATTCCATGGAACTGCATATTTCCGTGCATACCAGCTTCATAGTTGATTTCTATTATTTTCTTAGGTTGATAAAACTTGCCTGAGCTGTTTCCATTGGCACCACACAGCAGAGAGTTGTTATGAATGGAGACATGACAGTGTCAGAGAGAGGCAGAAATCAATGAACTCAAAAGGTTCTATCATAGCATAACAGACCTTGAATTACTGCCCTGATAGAGGTCAGTGGAAATGTCAGTCACATAAAATGTATACGTACTGTACTGGGTCACGTTTCCTTGAAAATGAATATGTCGAAATCTAGGAAAGCCCCTTAGATTTTCCCATGATGTCTGATGTTTTCAGTTTGTGGCAGGAAAGATGACTTTAGGATAGGAGTTATTATTTGTTTATCTGGTACTGAACAGTCTTCTCTCTCCTCTCTGTCATCAGCTCATTTGTTAAAACTGTTAGAATGTATAAGATATTCATTAGACTATTTTATGTATTCGTACATCACTTTATTGTTTACTAAGTGATTTCATGAACATCATTTGACTCATCCAATAAATCAGCCCAGTGAGCACCTCAAGTTAACAAATGGGCAGACAATTTTCTAAAAATGAACTGGACAGTCTTGTGTTGCAGTTTCAAAAACCTGTCTGTTACTGCTCTGCACTTAATTCTGTATGCTGTCCAGGCTCGTTTTTCAGGCAGTAGGGCTACTTGATTTGTATACAGGAATATGGAAGATGCCACGTGAACATTTAATACCCATGTTTCTTGGGTATTATTGAGACAATGAACAGGTAAAATGAGATCAAAAGTTGCAGCTTTAAAAGAGATTTACACTCTTGTAACTCCAGCCCATAAAATCAATTGCCACTGCTGACCCCTTTTATCTGCATATTGTGAATATGTGTTTTCTGTGCTTTTAATGAAACAAGGGACCCTCTCTCCTGGGAGAGAAAGAGCAAATGCATTTAATGCCTAGGACTTGACTGTGCTCCTGATTAAGTGATGTGTATCCACCATAATGGCTGTCATAAATCAGAATAAATCACAGGAGAGCAAACACGAGGAACTGCTAACAGGCATGTCAGCCCTTCTTATCTCGGAAGTTTCAACAGCTCTTTGGCTTTTAGCTCTACTTTATGGTGATGTTAGTGTGTATGATGGTGGGGCCATGTCTGCAAATGGCAGACAAAACAGTTTTGTGGTTTTTAAGAGGGTAAGTAGCTTAAGCACAAGTTTGAGGAGTGATGTCATGATTTGTTTATTAGTTAGATTTTCAATTTAAAATAAGATACAGGAAAAATGGACCCGAGTGTTTAAGATCCTTATAAAAGTGTTACTCTTCCCTTCATAAAGAAATTTAGAGAAAGGCAGAGCATGTAATCACAAAACCTGGTAGCTGAGAAATAACATTTACTTGTATCAGGTTCTATTATGGTTTTCTTTTTTCAAATCTTTAAGTATTTAAGTATATCCTTAGAGCATCACTTAATGATGTTCATATTGTATAATTACTGCCATTTACTAGATAGAAAATCATATGCAATGACACTTTAAAGTATATATTAATTTTTTAATTTTCTTATAAATTGTAGTACTTTATTAGATTTTATTTTAATTAGAAAGTAAATGCATGCTTGATATGACAATTTAAATAGTACAGAAGTAATTAAAGAAAAAGTTAATTCTGCTTCCCTCTTCTAAAGCACCTTCTTGAGGTAACCGACATTATTGGTTTGGTCTGAGGTCTTCCACTCCTTTATCTATTATCAGTCTTTTCTGAAAGGTTTGCTCATTATTATTAAATTTGTATATTCTGATGAAGGAATGTTGTTGCATGAAATCTGCAAATAATTTAGAATTGCATCTAATTATCTATGATTAATGAATGACTACAGGTGACTGACAAGTAAAATTCTTTCACACGTCTTTATTTCTTTTCATACATTGTAGAAAAAGTGAGTTTTGTCTCAATGTTGAAAGTGAAAAACTATGGACCACTCTAATATTTTCTCATCACCTGTGATTTCATTCTTCATAAAAGGAGAGGTTTATATTTTGGGGCTTTATGGCATTTCATTCATCTCAATTATTTGTAATTAAACAAATAGGAAAAAATTAGGAGGGGGCAAATATTAGGATTTAAAACATTTACTCTCAATAAATTATCTTGAAAAGGGTCTTTGATTTATCAGATTCCTGGGGAAAAAAAAAAAAAAAGATCATTTTCAGGAAGAAATCTCTGCATTTTTTCTCTCAAGCAGCTCCAATACTGATTATGGGAAGAAAAAAAACAAAGACTAAAATGAAAAGATAGAAATGTCATGACTTCTTTTCTTTAACAAGGTCCAGCCCCGATCCTCTATTAGCTAACAGAAATCCTCACCAACAGCCTTGCAGACCTCCCGCTGCATCTGTCCTACCTGTCTGGAGGGCGAGGTCCAGGCTCAGTGTCATGGAGGCATCCACTCAGTGTCTTTGTCTCAGACAGTGTCCCTCAAGTATAAGATAGAAACAGGCTATTCGATTAGTGCCAGATGCCATGCACACCGGATTTGCGGAATGCCTTAACACTTTCTGTGGGACCCAAGTGCACTTAGACACTACACAGGGAAACATTCAGAAATGAGAGTTATGTATGTGACCCGGGGTCTGACACTTAGAATCTTCTATCGCAGTACAAAGAAAGCAACGTTGTGCCTGTGTCATATTTCTTATCACTGAAAAAGAGTAAGGAAAGGATAGACATAAACCTAACGTATGATATATTTGTTATGTTATTTTTCTTATCTGAAGTGCACTAAATAAGTCCGATTGCCTCCCACTCTGCAAATGATGCCTGAAGGTTCGAAAATATATATAGGGCTTAGTGCGTTAATAGGAAACAAAATCACTGCTTCTCTTAATTCCTGCCCAAACACAGTCCTTCAAAGGCATGATTTGCATGGAATCCCCAGGAATCAACCCTGGAGGGAAACTTAGGCCCAATTTAGTAGGTGATTTGCACAGCATATGGAAAAACACCATCATGTTTCTCCACTGAGCTTATCTCTTAAATTAGAACAGACAAGATATAAATAACAATATTCCGTATTCAAACCTCATTTCCTTTTTTAAAAAATATTCTTCCCCTGTTTCGTGGGAGGGATTTAGAATATAAACCATGGAAGAAGCAAAGTGAGAATTCAAAAGAAGTAACTGAAGCATTAAGCAATAAGCAAGTCCTTGCACTCCAAAACAGGTCGGCAGATAAAGTTATGCATATTTGTCACTCTAGTGCCAGTAATATACACGTTACCATAAAAGTCTATGCCCTTTGACTGGGAGAATGATAATGAAATGTTCTAAAAATTTTTACATACTTAATCAGCAGCTAAACTAGATATGAATCCAACTCTCTTTGCTCATATTCTTACTACTTTCTCTTTCTCCAGCCTCTAAAGAAAAAAGCAGAATCATTAATACCTGTAATATCTGTAAAGCCTAAAATGATTTCAGGCTGAATTAGCCTTCTCGAAATAATTGCATTACTACCTTTGCTTCTGTGTCTCTGCCTCCTTTCTCTCACTCCTACCCTTAGACACTCATTCATTCCTGTAATTCTTATCTCAAGGGAGGGGAATGTCCTGTAAACTCGCTCATACTTAGATAATGGGGATTCTGTGTGTCACCTCAGTCCAGTTCTGGACTGACAAAGTGAAGCTACATTTTCATAATAGTAAACAACAATTAGTAAACTAATAGTAAACAAACTGTGTTTGAGGGATGAAAAAGAAAGAAATAGCATCCTGTATCATTCTCTTTATCAGTGACTTAACTATGCCAGGCTTGCTGTATTTGGAAGTTCTTAATGGTTTCCTCCACACTCCTAGACACAAATTTAAGCACAAATTGTTCCCTTGCCTGGAATGTTCTGCTCCCTGGAATGTTCTGCTACTAATGGCTGCCTCCTCCTTGCTTTCAATTCCCAGCTTAATGTCACCAGCTTCCCTGACCACACAATCTAAAGCAGCCACCCAGACATTCTGCAATAAATCATCCTCTTTAATTACCGCATAGCATGTAATTATTTCTTATAGTTTCTTATTTACTTGCTTGTTGGTCATGTATTGTTTTTCCCCACAAAAATACAAGCATTTTGACCTTGACTTTTTTTTACTGTTCTTTCACTGGGACCTAGGTCAGGGCCTGACAAATAGTAAATGCTCAAAAACGGTTTTGAATGAATGAAGCAAGAGCAGAGAGAAAGAGCAAGATCGCCCGCGTTAGAGCAGCCCCGTTAGTTCTGTTTAACTTTATACCTCAATGAACTATAGGGCTCCTGTCTTCAAACCCCACCAATCCTAGAGTTTTCTTACTTTACAGTACTTTAAAAACTGACATTTATCTTATAAACGAAATAAATGTGAAAGAATTAAATAAGAATCCCATGGGATAGAATTACAGTAGAAAAGTTTGTCCAACTAAGTTACTTAATTT